TATTATTATTCTCTTTCTGTCTGCAGGCCAGAGCCGCCGTTGCCCGAGGGGATATGGTCGGAGCCAACTCCTACGCTCGCTCGGCCAAGAGCATGATCACCATCAGCGTGGTCATCGGCATCATCGCGGTCATCGTCATGGCCATCATCATCGGGGTCTACGTCGGCGTCGTCCTCGAGAACATACACGACAACGACTACAGATACTGAGTTCTCGTAGTAAATGTATTGTCGTGACAAGGACGACAGATTGTGACTTCAGAGCTTTCTTGTCGTATCTCCATTTTTTTTTTAATACTGTGAAAAACGGTTCATAACAAAGAGTTAGCTTTAGAAGAAGTCTTGTTTTCATTGTTAAAAAGAATGGAGATACGACAAGCAAGCACTGAGGTCACAAGGTACTGAGTTCTCCTACACAAAATGTCTTGTCTGGAAGGTGGAAGGGCTTCGGTGCCCCTGTAACAATAATATTTCATAATTATTGTAACCATCATTGTTGTTTTAAACGAAGACCATATTATCTTGTGTTGGAAGATTTTTATAGCTCTGTTACTTTTACTTAATATTACTTCCCCCTTCCTCCCTCCTCCCCCCTCCTCCCTCCTCCCCCCTCCCTCCCCCACCTTTTTGTGAGTTTTGGGAGAAGGTTTCAAGGTCTGTTTTGAAATACGCAATGGTTGTTTTTTAAAGTTTGAATATTCCTTTTTAGCTGTACGTTTCAATATAGCTTGAATGTATACTGTATGATTTTTCACACTGCTGATGATATTTTGTTTCCTGAATTTCCGTGTCTTCTTTTAAATGAAAACGGCTGAATAGATAGTAGAAGTTGTTTAAATATTAGATTGCTATTTTATATTTAATGCCCTTTTCTTGCTGCCTGGCCTCTGAAGAATTATGTCCCTCACAAGGTCAATGATTTGTCTTTGCCTGATTCAAGCTTTTTCTGCCTGTACATTGCTGCAGATAGGAATAGGGAAAAAAACTTGCGTCTTACCCTCAGGTTTAGAATCTCTATGAGGGTGGGTGGTTGGCGGGTACTTTGATGTGGTTTGTTCCTTTTTTCCAATTCAACATCTCTCGTTCTTTTCTCTCCTCTTTTTTTGTGTATGTCACTCTCTTGTAACACCTCTAATCTTCGGCACTTGTATGACCTTATTGTGTTGCAAGTGGGGTAAAACTCTTACTATAACTAAAAAAGCAGTGGGCTAAGAGTTTTCGATTTTTTCTCTGTGAATATGATGTACTTAAAAATGTCTGGAACTTCTACTCTTTAGTTCATGTTTACTGGTTACTTGAGTTGCAAGTGCTGTAACAACGGGGGTGTTGTTGCACTTTGCTAAATATATTCCCGGTCCGAGCGCTGTGTTTGTGGTCACTTTTTTTAGACTGTCGTCCACTGCTGCGTCTAGAATACATTTGTGTCAAGGCGTGGTGGAATCAGGCACTCGTCTAAGTAAAGAAATCGCAGAATCAGGCATTTTTCCTCCAGTTTGTCAATTTTTATCGAATTTTTGTGTTTTGGCCCAACACCTATTTTTGTCCTTAAATATACAAGCTCATTTCCAGGTTAATTTTACTGAAAAAACGTTAAATCGCATAAAATATTACAAATATTTAGTTTCCAGGGACTCTCAAGCTATAGAAGTTACCATACTTTGGCTGCCATTTTCTCGCTAATTTTACCTGTGAAACCATGCTACTCGCGCCTTTTTCAATAGCAAATATCTCGACTTCAATTCAAGATACATAGGTATTTTCACAAAAAAACAAGGGAGATGAACCAGCTTTCAGAGGATACCGATAACTCCACATGCCCCAAAAAGTTGAGTAGCACCAGATTTCACCGCGTCATGACACATTATATATTTGTGAAGCATCGTGGTGAAATCAGGCACTCGTCGAAATGATGAAATCGAAGAAAATGTCATTTTTCTGGCTGTTTGGCAATTGTTTTTCTTCTTTTTTTGGCTCAACACCTTTTTCATCCATTTGGAAACGCATTTCTGTGTGGATTTCACTGAATAACATTGATTAAAGCACAAAAGATGTAGATTTTCATTTCCCAATGACTCTCAAACTATGGAAATATCCAAACTTTGGTGGCCGTTTTCACGCTAATTTTACCTCTGAAACCAGGCAACCTTGACCTCCTTCTGTTGCAAATATTTTGACTTCTATTCAACTTAGATGGATGTTTTTTTCATTGGAATCAAGGCAAATAAATCAGCTTTCATATGATACCAGTAACCCCACTTGCCCCAAAATTGACGAGCGCCCGATTTCACCGCGTCATGACACATTATATATATATATTATTTGAGTCTCTCTCAGCAGACGGGTAGCTTTGTAGCGGCATTTTGCTCATCGATACATTCCAGCCTGCGTGGTGTGGAGGGTTCGCTACGACTTCCTCTCTTGTCCACGTAGCAGGTTATTTAGCCATAATAATGGTCACAAGAGGAACAAATGAGGGGCGGAGATGCAAAACCCACTACAGCAATTTTTAATTTTAGCACTTTTGACAAAAACCACCTTTTTTATAACGCTGCTATACGCACGGATATGCGCAGAAAGATTCTTTTTGGTGGCTTTTGTGAAGTATGTGTTGGGTTTTGGCCGAAAACGCCTTGTGCTTCTGATAGCCGGGAACTGTGCAGAATTACAAGCGAAAAATCTTGAATTTTTATTCCAATATGTGGCTTAGCGGGTTTTGAATCTCACCCCCTCAAATATACCAATAGTTTTATATATATATATATATATATATATATATATATATATATATATATATATATATATATAGACGAGTATTATATACCAGGTTTTTTTCCCTTTATTTGAAGGTCTTCTTGTTGTTGTTTTGGGAGACATTTTGTCCATTAAAAATTTTTTTCTTTTTCTTATTTTTTTTTCTGTCATTTTTCTGCTAGCTGTTCAGGATTGTGTGGACTGTGTGCTATGTCCCTTGGCAAAACGTGGAATCTTTTACTTGAAATTGTACATTATATGGATTGCTTAGTGCAAGTCTCCAGGGTGCGCCATGTGGAAAAGTGACAGGTTCAGGTCTGGTGTTTCCGTTAGGTGCTTCACTGTCTCACGCGGGAGATCCGAGGTCGATTCGCCCTCAGGGAGGAATTTGGTCGCTTTTCACCCTATCCGTACGCCCTGGGGTCATTTTGGAATGACACGAAGACTGACCGCACAAACACATTTTTATGGGTTTGAGTAACTTTTGAAGTTAGGAAGATTTTTGTTAGAGTGTTTTTTGTTTTCTTTAGGTTTGTACTTTCTGAGTACCTATCTCTAGATTCCGATTTAAGTGGATTCCGCTGTATTTGTTTTCTGGAAAGCTCTTGGGCTAATAGACAGACAGACTGACAGACTGAAAGACAGACAGACAGACAGACAGACTGACAGCCAGACAGACAGCCAGACAGACTGACAGACAGACAGACAGACAGACAGACAGACAGACAATGAGACAGACAGACAGATAGACAGACAGACAGACAGACAGACAGACAGACAGACAGACAGACAGACAGACTGACTGACAGCCAGACTGACAGCCAGCCAGCCAGACAGCCAGCCAGACAGACTGACTGACGATGAGACAGACAGAAAGAGAGCCAAATATCATGGCCAGCCAAAACTTGATGATGATACTACCTAATATCTCTCCACTTCAACCTCATTTTGTTGTTTTTACTCCAGAATTTTCTGGAAATTGTTTTCTGTATACGGTATTTTGTGAAGACTTCGGAGCTTGTTTCCATTTCTCCATGTGTCCATTTTGACCACAAAAACAAAACGCTGATATTTTTACCGATTTTTCTGTGGTTGTCGATTGTTTCTCGATTTTATACACTTTTTATTTGGGGAGCTGATGGTTGTTTATTTTTTGTTGATTTATGTCAGAACTGCTGTTACTGTGGGCTGTTTTGGATGAACATAAAAAATCGTATGAGCTCTGGGTTATTTTTTTATTTTTTTTTTTAGTTTGAAAAGTTTAATTTATTTTTTGAGTTACCGGGTATTACATCCTTCTGTTTTGAAGGCTGGATATGGGTAGTTGGCAGGTGCTCTGGTGTGGTTTGCTCCTTATTTCCTATCAAACATCTGTCGTCCTTATCTCCCCTCCTTTTTTATGTTTGTTACTGTCTACTGTCTTGTAACACCTCTAGTCTTCGGCACTTATATGACCTTATTGTGTTGCAAGTGCTGTGAAACTCTTACTAAAACTTACTAGAAGGCTGAATCCCCGTCCAGTCCGGGTGGGTCTTGACAGGACGTGTCGATGCAGCCAGCCTCCTAAATGAACTTCCTCGTGTTACCGGAAGTGTCAAATGTGACACGTGCTGACAGAATCAGTTACTTCCCGCCATCCCCGAACGGACGGAGATACCAGCCAAAAATGGACACATGAGTCAAATTTGTCGATTTCCAGCTATGCCATTTCCAAGTTTTTTGTTATTTATTCATTCTTATAAATTATGAATTGCACAAACTCAACGGATAAATTTTTCCATAACTTTGTCCTTAGAGCTGAAATCTGAGAAGTAACTCATTTTGTCAGGATGCCTTGCATGTATTTTAATTAAAAAATCAAAGTCCGTGGTACGTCGAGTGTCATTGTTCTGTGTCAGTGGCTCTGTGGTTCTGCTTCCGTGCGGTCCGGCACTCTGTACTTTGTCTGATTTCTACTTTGTCAGATTTCTACTTTGTCAGATTTCTACTTTGTCAGATTTCTCTGTGTCCAGTCAACAAAGAAGCGTGACTAGACAAGGTAGGCAAAGGACTTGAATTTTGACTCTTTACAGCTTTCAGTGAGCTTACTTCGTCAGATTTTAGCATAATTACCAGAAAAATATGTGAAATATGCTAAAAGTTGTGCCCACTTTCTCAATATACATGCATATACATGTACATTTATATATATATATATAAAATACATTTATATATATCGACGGCTGAGAGCAAGAAGTGACTATATCTACTTTTCACAGTTTCGAGAAAATTAGGTTTGAAATTTGAACGATTTTGAAATCTATATATACCATAGTTAAAAAAAGAATGGCGGTACCGAATTAAGCCACAGCCTAGATATTTACAGAGGTAAAAGAGCCGTTTAAAGTTTTATTATCCATATATATCAATTACTCCATTTTGAGCAAAAGTGGATATAGTCTCTTGTTGCACTCAGTCATCGAATAATAAATCTCTTTGTTCTTTGGAGTACGTTTCAGATTCAGTTGACCTATCAGTTTATATGGTCGCTTTTAAGGACAAGCGGGCTAGCCTAGATTTCGGGGGTGTCCAGAAATCTTGACCTACACCAAAAGTGGGCATTGCCCTACCTTCAGGAGAAGTTTGGTTTCTTTGATGTGTATATATATATATGTTTGGTTATAGAGAAAACTCTCCTTGTCTTTTAAAGAAACTGAACAAGGGGCAAAAACTTTATCTTCGATTTTCTCGAAACAGCATTTTTCAGGATATCTCCCTTGTGCTTTTAAGCGACCATATGTGTGGTGTTATGATAAGGCGCTGTGTCGTTGCCTGCAAGATATGATTGTTTAGTTCTGG